AAGTCTTACAGCAGCATTGCCCAGGCACGAATCAAGGAACATGAAAGGCACTGCAACTACTTCAACCAGAGAAGTCAAGCATAGCAGAGCACTTGATGAACCAACCTGGACATAGCATATTATTTAAGAACACAGAAATGCGCACCTTCTTCACCTTCCTCTCCTCCTTCTCTTCCTCTTCCTCTTCCTCTTCCTCCTCTCTCACTCCGCCCCCGATGGCTCCCCCACCGCACTCGGCCATTCAGCTGCATAAGTCTGTCAGGACGGAAGAGGAAGGAAGGAAGGAAGGAAGGAAGGAAGGGAAAGGAAGCAAGACCTCCTCTCCTTTCCCTTCGCCAGATGAAGAGAGAGAGAGCGAAGGAAAAGGAAGGAAAGATCCTTCAAGGCTGGAGAGAGGGAGGACTGAGGAGGGAAAAACCCGCAAAAGTGTGATTCTGCGCAAAGTGAACCACGAAGTAGCGAGGGCACACTGTATCTTTGAATCCACCAGTGTCCTCTTTCTCCTTCCAGTTTCCAATATTGACGTTGCGAATGCCTGCTTCATAGGGCTGTCCAACCACGGAAAAATTTGTTTCTAAACTCGATTTGTTTTTAGGGGTTTTTTGCGTTTCGTTATTTAAAAGAATTCCGAAATTTTCCTTTAAAAAAGTTCGATATTTACGAAATTTCGGAAATTACGAAACAATTACGAAACAATTACGAATCGATTCGTTAATGGCGGACGCGACCGCGCAATACGCTAAAAAACCTCCAAATGGGACAGGGGGAACTTCTGAAGCTTCCCTCTCCCTCTGTTGTTGACTGTTGGTGTGATAATTTTTTTTTCACTGATAAAACAAACAACAACTATAAAACTTGCACCAGACATACGAAAATAATAACGAAACAATTTCGAAACAATTTTGAAACAATTTCGAAACAATTACGAAACGAATTGAAAAATTCGTTTCGATTTTTAGTTGCTCCTGAATGGTTCAATATCGCTTCGTTATAAAAAAAAAAACGAATTAATAACGAATTACGAAATTAACGAACGAAACCGCCCAGCCCTACTGCTTCATATTCCCAAGCCTTGCAAGTCGAAACAAAAGTTTGGAGGTTGAGCTGGAAGACCTTCAAGGTGAAGTGAAAGGCCTTCATTCCTTTTGCAAAAAACCCCCCAAAGCTGGCTGTTGCTCCGTTCCCAAATATAAACCTGACTTTGGGGCCTGAGAAATCAGAACTGGCACGAGGCCTGGAGGTTACAGACACAGCCATTTTCTCTGCGCCCAGAAACAAATGAAATGTGCCAAGGAACAAAATAGCGTTGCCCTTTGTTCTTTCTTCATCTTCTTTGGTCTTTGGGAGGCCAAAAGAATCCCGTCAGGTTGGTGGCTCATCTCCCCAGAGCTGATCAAAAGCCTCGTGAAAGTCAAGGGCCTGATGGAGCCGCTTGCAAAGGTCACCGTGGTGGACGCTCTCGGCAGGCTTGAAAGCGGAGGCCGTCAAGGCAGGCGGCTTTGGAGAAAGAGGCAAAGCAGAGGCTCCGGGGGCTGCCACTCGGAAGAGAAGGCACACCATGAGCTCTGAGGTCACCCCTTGCGCCCGCATCTGACAAGGAGCTGGCAAAGGGAGCCGGGGGCCGGCCGGTGACGGATGGGGAGCGACACCACACTCCGCTTCCAAGGGCTTTGCTGCAGAAGGGCTGCCTGGAGCCTGCTGAGCACCGCCTTAATTGCCTTCATTAGCACCTTGGTGGGTGTCCCCTGCATTCAAGGACGTTGATCATTGATCAGGAGGAGAGGATGGTGGCAGCCCCAGGCCACATTTGGTATCCATGGAAAGAGACGGAGTTTGCAGTGATGACAGAAAGCAGGACAATTGTGGGTCATAGAACAGAAACCACAAAGAATTTCAGAAAATGTATTGTTGAAGGCTTTCATGGCTGGAATCACTGGGTTGTTGTAGGTTTTGGGGGCTATGTGGTCATGTTCTAGAAGCATTCTCTCCTGACGTTTCGCCTGCATCTATGGCAGGCATCCTCAGACCTCACAACCTCTGAGGATGCTTGCCATAGATGCAGGCGAAACATCAGGAGAGAATGCTTCTAGAATATGGCCAATAATAATAGAATATAATAATTACAATATATTGTCGAAGGCTTTCATGGCCGGAATCACTGGGTTGTTGTAGGTTTTTCAGGCTGTATGGCCATGTTCTAGAAGCATTCTCTCCTGATGTTTCGCCTGCATCTGTGGCAAGCATCCTCAGAGGTTGTGAGGAAAACTTCTGAGGATGCTTGCCACAGATGCAGGTGAAACATCAGGAGAGAATGCTTCTAGAACATGGCCATACAGCCCGAAAAAACCTACAATATATTGTCGAAGCCTTTCATGGCCGGAATCACTGGGTTGTTGTAGGTTTTTTCGGGCTATGTGGCCATGGTGTCGAGGCATTCTCTCCTGACATTTTGCCTGCATCTATGGCAAGCATCCTCAGAGGTAGTGAGGTCTGTTGGAACTAGGAAAAAGGGTTTATATATCTGTGGAATGACCAGGGTGGGACAAAGGACTCTTGTCTGCTGGAGCTAGGTGGGAATGTTTCAACAAAAGTTTGCTCTAGGCACTGTCAGGCCATTATATGCTAATCAAGGTGGTCAGTTGAAACATTCACTCCCAGCTCCAGCAGTCAAGAGTTCTTTGTCCCACCCTGGTCTTTCCATAGATATATAAACCCATTTTCCTAGTTCCTAGATACCTCACTACCTCTGAGGATGATTGCCAAACATGTAGGCGAAACGTCAGGAGAAAATGCCTCTAGAACATGGCCATATAGCCTGGAAAAACCTACAACAACCCAAACCTACAATAACCCAATGTGAGCAAATATTGGGAGGTTTCGGTGTCTTCTTCATCTTGCAGAGCTTTCAAGACATGTTGCTCACTATGTTCAGGGAATGGTATTTCTCTCAACTTGGTTGAAGTGCAGAGCTTGGGTATCACAGGATCCTAGAAGAGAACCCAAGGGCCCTCCAGTCCAACCACCTTCATCTGGGAAGGAAAACACAATGCAAGACCTCCTGACAGACGTTTTAAAAAGGACCCCAAAGGAGGAAACTCCACTGAAATCCCAGGCAACTGCTCTAATGTCAGAACGTTCTTCCCAATGTTTACTTGGAATGTTACTCCCTGCAATTTGAATCCATTGCTCCATTGTGTCCAAATCTATGGAGTGGCAGAACACACGCCAGTACCCTCTTCCATTTTGCATCCTTTCAGATATCTAAACATGAATCTCATGTCCTCTATCCTTCTCTTCTCCAAACTAAACACCCGGATCTCCCTCATCTGCTCCTCAGAGGGATTCATGGCCTCCAGACCTTTGGCCATTTCGGTTGCCCTTCTCTGGAGACATTCCAGCTTCTCCATATCCTTTCTTAGAATCATAGCATCCTAGAGTTGGAAGAGACCTCATGGGCCAACCAGTCCAACCCCACGCTGCCAAGAAGCAGGAAAATTGCATTCAGAGCACACCCGACAGATGGCCATCCAGCCTCTGTTTAAAAGCCTTCATAGAAGGAGTCTCCACCACACTCCGGGGCAGAGAGTTCCACTGCTGAATGGCTCTCACAGTCAAGAAGTTCTTCCTCATGTTCAGGTGGAATCTCCTCTCTTGTCGTTTGAAGCCGTTGCTCCATTGCGTCCTAGTCTCCAGGGAAGCAGAAAACAAGCTTGCTCCCTCCTCCTCCCTGTGGCTTCTTCTCACATATTTATACATGGCTATCATGTCTCCTCTCAGCCTTCTCTTCTTCAGGCTAAACATGCCCAGCTCTTTAAGCTGCTCCTCATAGAGCTTGTTCTCCAGACATTTGATCATTTTAGTCATCTTCTTCTGGACACATTCGAGCTTGTGAACATCTCCCATCAGTTGTGGTGCCCAGAACTGGACACAGTATTCCAGGTGTGGTCTAACCAAGGCAGAATAGAGCATGGGGAGCAGGACATCCCTAGATCTAGACACTAGGCTCCTATTGATGCAGGCCAAAATCTCATTGGCTTTTTAAGCTGAAGCATCACATTATTGGCTCATGTTTAACTTGTTGTATAATTGCTGTATACATGTTTTATCCATTGTTTATGTTTATGCTGGCATCAAATTTTGCCTTTTGTAAGCCGCCTTGAGTCCCCCCTCGGGGATTGAGAATGGCGGGGTAGAAATGCGTGAAATAAATAAATAAATTGTCCACGAGGACCTCAAGATCTTTTGCACATGTCCTGCTCTCGAGCCACGCGTTCCCCATTCTGTATCTTTGCATTTATTTTTTTCTGCCTAAGTGGAGTTTCTTGCATTTGTCCCTGTTGAACTTCATTTTGTTAGTTTTGGCCATTCATTTCTCTAATCTGTCGAGATCGTTTTGAATCCTGCTCCTGTCCTCTGGAGTATTGGCTCTCCCTCCCAATTTGGTGTCGTCTGCAAACTTGATGATCCTGCCTTCTAGCCCTTCATCTAAGTCATTAATAAAGATCCTGAGTAGGAACGGGCCCAGGACGGAACCCTCCTGATGGCACTCCGCTCGTCAATTCTTTCCAGGATGAAGAGGAAGCATTGGGAAGAATCACCCTCTGGGTTCATCCATTTAACCAATTCCAGATCCACCTCACCGTAGTTTTGCCTCTCCCACATTGGACTAGTTTCCTTGCCAGAAGGTCATGAGGGACCTTGTCGAAGAAGGCCTTACTGAAATCCGGGTACGCTCCACCCACGGCATCATTCCCCGCATCTACCCAGCTTGTAACTCTATCGAAAAAAGAGATCAGATGAGTCTGGCATGACTTGTTTTTGATAAATCCATGTTGACTATTAGCAATGACCGCCTTTGTTTCTAAGTGTTTGCAGACCACTTCCTTAACAATCTTTTCCAGGATCTTGCCCGGTATCGACGTGAGGCTGACCGGACGGTAGTTGTTTGGGTCATCCTTTTTTCCCTTCTTGGAGATTGGGACCACATTGGCCCTCCTCCAATCTGCTGGAACTTCTCCCGTTCTCCAAGAACTCTCAAAGATGGTTGCCAATGGTTCCGAAATGACTTCTGCTAGTTCCTTCAATACTCTGGGGTGTAGTTGATCTGGCCCTGAAAGGGGACTTGAACTCATTTAGAGTGGCCAAATGAGTTCGAAAGAACCTTGTCAAAAGAAGGCCTTCCTGAAGTCCAGATACGCTACATCCATGGCATTCCCCACATTTACTCAGCTTGTAACTCTATCGAAGCTCTCCTTTGCAAGGAGGGCTTTGCAATTCCTTATACAATTGAGATTTCAGCTTCCTTCCCAGAAGGTTCTGAGAACCAACAGTGACTAGAGGCTTCTTTAAGCCATTGTTCAAAAAAGTAACTTTTCAAAGATTGGGTGGGGATCCATCAAAAGGTTTTTCTGAGAAGGCTTCTGGGAAAGCAGCAGCAGCGCTAGAAAAGCATCGCTCGCCCGGGACATTTTGTTTTGTGCAGTATGTCTTTCCCCCAAAATATTCCCGGCGCTTGGTCGCAAGGACGTCAAACTACCATTTGGGAAGATTAAAATAAAGCAGGATTTCTGGCGGCTGTCAAAAGTTGCAAGGAGGTGCTGTGAAATCTGTCAGATTCACTGTGCAGGAGTTAAGTTTCATGAGCCTCTTTATTGGGCTAATTCTTCTTGATTTCTTAATCTCCCTGAACCGAAACCTGTTTGGGTTTGGAGGGGGGGGGGGCAAGCCAAGGGTTGGCCACTGCGTTTTTATTGCTGTTACGTTTCACCAAGTCTGGAATAAGCCTATATTGGATTAGCTACAGTAGAGACATACCAATATACACATCGGTTTGGGAAAGTAATGCAATTTGCAGCTTGCACGAGAAAACCTGCAGAAAATGAGCAAATGGCAAAATGACAATTCCGTTCTCAGTTACAGCTGAACTCTGAAGAGCAAATGGAATCTATAATACCTTCTTCTATTCCCAACAAATCAGCCAAGTCAGAGGCCACGCATTCAGCAGATGGAGAGTATTTATGCCTATGGAGGTGGCCTTCTCTGGATGCTTTCTAGTTAGATACTTTCTTCTTCTAGTTAGATACTTTTGATGGATAAGTTCTTGGTGGGATGGGCATCCCAAGCCACCTTCCCTCTCTCCTGAGGAATCTGTACAAGGACCAAGTAGCAACAGTCAGAACTGACCACGGAACAGGAGACTGGTTCAAGATTGGGAAAGGCGTCCGGCAAGGCTGCATCCTCTCACCCAACCTATTCAACTTGTATGCAGAACACATCATGCGAGGATGTGCGGGGCTGGATGAATTCAAGGCTGGGGTGAAAATTGCTGGAAGAAACATTAACAACCTCAGATATGCAAATGACACCACTCTGATGGCCGAAAGCGAGGAGGAGCTGAGGAGCCTTCTCATCAAGGTGAAAGAAGAAAGCGCAAAAGCCGGGTTGCAGCTAAACATCAAAAAAACCAAGATTATGGCAACAAGAATGATTGACAACTGGGAAATAGAGGGAGAAAACGTGGAGGCAGTGACAGACTTTGTATTTCTAGGTGCAAAGATTACTGCAGATGCAGACTGCAGCCAGGAAATCAG